GTGGAATAATTGTGAGATGTACCGAGGAGGACAGCACTCGACAGTTATCGGTGTAAAAGGCTATCCTATTTATAAAAGTAATTATCTGTATCGCCAGTGATACGTTTATTATGGCTAATATAAAATTATGTTATTCGGTTTTGTCAAAATATTATATAGCGCATTATAGCTAGTGTTGCCCAAATGCAAGAACAAGACGAGACTTAGCAAGTCTTGGTCTTGGTCTTGCGCCAATACACCTGGTCTTGGTCTTGGTCTTGGTATTGCGCTCCCAGTCTTGGTCTTGGTCTTGGTCTTGCAGCAAGAGTCTCGCAAGTCTCGCAATGATCTATTAGCCTATTACTATTTATTAAACGTTACTTTAGATCTTAGAACAACTTAACAGAGTAGGTACATATTGAGCTTGAATTAACATAGCCACAGTAAAGACCAACCATATTAATAAATGTCTAAACATTTAATGAGAAATTCGAAAAATCAACTGACACCGGGTGGGGTTTGAACCTAAGACCTAAGCGATCCGTGCCGATGCTCTAACCAACTGAGCTATCTACCGTGTTCCACGGCCACGGGCGTCAGTTTCATAATAAACGTTTACATTTAATAAGCTTATATGTGCTAAAACATGGTTAAACATACATATAAAAACAAATTAATGGCAATAACTACACTTTATTTTAAATAACATTATCTCTCTAGAAAGAGATTGATGGACCCTCACCATTTATGAAATGGAATAAAAGAGTTATACAATATACAATTTATTTAAATAAAAAATAAAATACGATGAAAATTAAATTACTTCACAGTATGTACACAACAGCTTTGACATTACTGTTACTTTATATTTATTCTTTTGACAAAGCATTAATACAAAGTAACCATCTGGCTGACTCATCACTTAACCTATTTCTATGTTTTCTAATTACTAATGATGCTTTAGAAAATAATATCTCAGCAGGTACTGAAGTTGCAGGTATTAAAAGAAAATCACGGGCCATCTTCAATAAAATCGGATATTTTGTCTCATGCGTCCTCCAACAGTTTAAAATGTCTTCCGAGATGACGGCTCTGGGTTTACCTAGGTACCCCTCCAACTCCTTAATAACTAAGCCTTGAAGACAAGATCCAGATCCATTTTTACACATTTCAAGTGTTTAAAAGTGCTATGGTGTCAACCATATTTATCAAATGTGTGACGTCATGTTCGAGCACATTGTGTTTTAAAAACACACACTTGCAAAGGTCGAGATTTGCAGTGAACTTACTGAACATGTTTATCTTTTAGATAATAATAATAACAATAAACCTAGCAAGCTAACAGCATAGCAAAGTGGCGAAGCAATCAGCTTAGTCGCATGTTTTTGATTTTCTTAAATTTTTCAAATCGTTCATATGAGAGGTGATGTGAGAGATGGCTTCTAAGGCCACCTCTTTGGTGTCAATTACATCTGGCACTTGGTCTAAGTATTCTGAGTTCATAGTTTCGAGGTTAGCCTCGAACCTATGCCAGTCCGTAACAGTTTTGGTTAGAGGAACCTCGCTGATGGACTGCCCTAACGACATTATGACTGGGCGGTGATCCGATGTCAACTCATGCACCACTTCTATGGAGCGTAACGTTAAGGTTACGTTGGTGAAGAGTGCTAAGTCGATTTTGGACAAACTACGATATTGGTTTGTTGAATAGTTTGTTTGTCACTTAGTTTTACTGAGTGCTCGCCGTTTGTATTCTCCCTAAGATGATTGTGTATAAACTTACCCGAGAAAACCGCGTAGAAATGACTATTTTCACCTTTAATCACTTCCCGCTTAAAATCGCTTAAAGAATTAAATGAAATTAAAACTGTTTTAAAAGGCGCACGACCTTGTGAAGGAATGTAAGCGCGAGGCCCCGAAGGGCTAGCCTAACGGTCGCCTGACTCGACGGCAGCCGCCCTAAACCTACTCTAGGTGGAGCGAGATTCGGCCTATAATCGCCTAGCACGCAAAGAGGAATTTAAATTATTAAAAACCCGAGTCTATTTTTTGATTAACGCGACGCGATGAATTAACGAAATTCTCCACTGAATTTACAGTTTCGAATACCGAGTTAACTAAATGATTTTTACTAATACGAAACGGACGTCAGAACGTAACCTTTACTTTTAAAAAAAATGAATTTTTAATTTTAAGTTTAAAGATTAAAGTTTAAATTTCAAATTTCAGATTTCAAACGGATCGGATGACTGTTTGCGTTCGAAGTCTGTGTAAAAGTGCTGTAGCTCCCGATTTACAGAAATTATTTATATACGAGGCTACCAAATCAACGAAAATTTCGCCATTTTGGAGCCGAAAAAAATTAATTATAGCTAAACAAAACAAAATTACACTGCCATTTACATTCAGTGGCTTCCCACATGATAGATGAAGAGATTAAAAAATATATTGAGTTAAACAATTGATATTTTCAAAAGTTATCGTGTTTACAACCCACAGGGACATGATAAATCCACACCATGAAAACCCTTTTTTTATTTAAAAATAGCAATTAATCGATTTAAAAAAAATATTAATAAGTTCAATAATCATTTATCTTTCTAAAGACCTGTCGATTGATATGCTACATGCCCTGTGTCAGTCTGTTGAGAATTTGAAATTGTAGCGGTTTCTAACGGTTGCCGTTGAGCAATCAGTTTCAAAATAGGAGGTTCAGATGCCTGGGTGATCAGTAATCGATTGCTGAAAACAGAATTTGAAAATTCGAAACCGTTCTCGAGATAATCGTGGAAAGGACGGACAGACGGACAGACATCGTGAACTCAATAAACATAGCAAGCTAACAGCATAGCAAAGTGGCGAAGCAATCAGCTTTGTAGCGGTTTCTAACGGTTGCCGTTGAGCAATCAGTTTAAAAATAGGAGGTTCAGATGCCTGGGTGATCAGTAATCGATTGCTGAAAACAGAATTTGAAAATTCGAAACCGTTCTCGAGATAATCGTGGGACAGACGGACAGACGGACAGACATCGTGAAATCAATAAGTGACTTCGCAAGCTTCGCCACTTAATAATAGTAAGTAATTATTATAAATCCATATAGTTAATTTTATAATAATTACTTACTAGAATAAATTATTATGATACCTACCTATTATCTAATTACAATATTTCTTGCGAGATCAGGATAATGTATTCGTGTCCATTCTGAGCACCCGGAAACTTATTTTATTCTTTGAAACATGTACTCTGTGGCGGCAATCAAACAGTGTCAAATGTAGTGCGTGTGGCGCGGCGGCGACGATTATGCGATATCAATAGTAGCCGCCGGCACGTGTATCTTGACCTTGTACTTTCGAATAGCTGCACAATTTGTTTGACAGGTCAGTCAGTATCCGACCTTTGGTGACGCCGACAACAAGACGCCGCGAACTATCAAAGTGCCGATGGTCAAAACTAGGGATGCACTCTTTTTTCTTTTAATGGATATTTTCATTCGCTATGTATGTTTATGGTATTGTTCGTAATGCGCATAAGTCCAATTTTCCAATTTTTTTTTCATTATATTTTTTTGCGTCTCATAGAGTCCCTAAGCGTATACCCGAACTCCTATACTCCCTGAAACGACACTTAGTCCTAACTGCAAGACGCAAGAGTCTCGCAAGCTTAGTCTTGTTCTTGCGCAAATCTTGCACGGTCAGTCTTGGTCTTGGTCTTACTAAAAAGAGGCGGTCTTGTTCTTGGTCTTGGTCTTACAAAAATGCAAGAACAAGACCAAGACTGCAAGACCAAGACCGATTTTGGGCAACACTAATTATAGCACGTTGTAGTATTTCATTGCCATTTTTAATCCTTCATCTACTTCATCAACATAGTATAATTATTTGTTTTATTATAAAACTAAAGTTACAGGATTTAAACGTTCCAATCATTCCGGGTGTTCTCTCATTTTTAAGAGAGTTCTGGAGCAGTTAGACCACAATGTTATCTTCGAAGTACTTTAATTACTTAGACATGCAGGTTTCCTCACGATATTTTCCTTCAAGGATGAGCACGCCGGAAATCAGGACTTGAAATTGCAGTTGACGATGTCATAGGTGCTGGCGTGGATAGGACCCGGGTTGCTCTCGTACTGTAAAATTTACCGCGAGCACGTGGTTTATACGTGGTAGAGCCATTACAAGACTATAAAACCAAGCAGAATGAAGGCTTCATATTACCACCGCGCGCAAGAACACTACTACATGCACAGCTATATGTGTGCGTGACTTGTCACCGACAAGGCGCAGGGGGCGTGCACCAGCGCCCGCTAGGGTATAAACCGGTTTGAGCCCGGTTTGAAGTTAAACGCCGGTTACAAAGTGGGAGCTGGCGTGCGAGCTGGCGTAGTCAGTTACTGTAATACAGCTACTCGCATTGTGTGACCGCATCATACGAGTTACTGTCATGTGCGAGTCGGTTAATTGATCGCATCTGAGTTACTACAAATTATTTTGATTTTACTTGCCACTCGCCTTTCCCCATACCACGCACAAGCAGCAACTCGCACGCGGCTCGGACGTCGGCTCCCACATCTTTGCATACAGACAGTTGCTCGTACGCTCGCGTAGGGTGAATTCTCCGTTTGTTTTTGTTTCGTTTGACAAAATGGCGGATAGATGGATTTCCGAAGAAAATATGTATAAAGTTTGTGGAGCTATACAAAGATCAAACCAACGTATGGAATTGTTTGGATCTTAATTATATGAATAGAGGTTTGCGTAAAGCGTCGCTTGAACATATCGTAAAGGAATTACAAGTCACGAGGGTTATAAAAAAAGATCAAAAATGTTCGTTTTACGTATAGTCAGAGGTTATTGAAAATTGGAAAAAGCAAAAAAGTGGGTGCAGCACTGACGAGATATACAAACCATCTATCAAGTGGTTTGATACTATGGATTATATTATGAAAATAATTAATCTAAAAGATAAAAAAAAAACACAAGTAATCTGATAAGTAAGATTTTTTAAATATTTACAAATTTTAATTCATCGTATTTTCTTGCCAGGAAACTGCTCTTTCGTCACAGTAATAATTTTTATATTTAGTACGCATTTCCTCTGTTATTGCTTGGTAATGCAGTAATTTCTGACCTCCACTGCCCCAAAACGATTTGAAATTTTATGATATCATCATAATCTATTGTTTCTGGACGTGTGTAGGTTACTCGTACTGATTCAGTGGTAAGTAACAAATTGTGTAAAGTACATGCACATAAGACAATCTTTATCACTGTTTCCTCTTTAACTTGAATCGGTGTTCGCAAAACACGAAAATGAAATGCTAGTATGCCAAACCCGTTAATTATAAATATTTTCCCTTAAAGTTCGTGTTTGCTGGTAGGGCTTTAGTTAGTACGTCTTTAAAAGGAAGGCGTCATCTCCAACTAGAATACGACCTTCAGGCAACAAGTTGTTTTCTAGATAATGATACAAAGAGCGGGTTTGGAATACCCCACCATTTGCATTACGATCATAAGTTACACACACACACACACACATATATATATTTTACACACACACACACACATATATATGTAAAACAATAACTGTGATTCACGACAGCCATAAGCACTATATTTATTTGTTCCTTCGTAGTTATAAAATAGACTGCTACAGTTTGATGGTGCTTGAATTGTTATGTACTTTCCATCGATAGCGCCACAGCAACCTGGAAAATTCCAACTAGAATGAAATCCTACTTGTATATCTTGCCATTCTTTCATATTTGGTATCTGAAAAAGGTGATGTAAATTTCAGAAACATTGTGCATCAACGCCAGGAAACGAGCTGTCTGAAGATACTTGACAAACTAGTAACGAAGAACGTGATACGTTGTTGTCAAACAACCAATCATCATCATTACAGCCTTTCATAAGTTCACTGCTGAACATAGGCCTCCCCCAAGGAATGCCACAAAGCACGGTCATGAGCCACCTGCATCCATCGACTTCCTGCATGTCTTACCAGGTCGTCACTCCATCTAGTGGGGGGGTCGCCCTACACTTCGCCTACCGGTACGATCCTGCCACTCGAGAACCTTTCTTCCCCATCGGTTATCGGTTCTTCGAGCTATATGGCCGGCCCACTGCCACTTCAGCTTACTAATCCGTTGGGCTATGTCGGTTACTCTGGTTCTACTTCGGATTTTTTTTTATAGGATAAGGTGACAAACGGGCATACAGTCCACATGATGGTAAGTGGTTGCTGAAGCCCATAGACATCTACATCTATCCTCGTTTGCGAATAAAAATGCAGATGCGTTGTCACCCGTGAGGACTAAGATGGAATGCCTCTTTTCCAGTAAAAGGGTCTCCGGTCCTCTACACTCACCATACGAAACACAGCAGCATTAAGCTGCTATTTTACGCTGGTATTCTGTGAGAGCGTGGTCCTTCCCCGGTCAAGCCGACCCATTGGTGCTACAGCTATACTCGAAATATAGCTGCAGCATGCTGCAGCTATATTTCGAGTATAGTTAGAGCCTATATATAGAGTATAGAGTATAGAGATAGAGATAGTATAGATATAGAGTATAGAGATAGGGTAGAGCCATGGCTCTACCACGTCAAGAGAGGAGAGGATATCCTCATTTCTAAGTTTATCACGCAGAGAAACCACGAGCATAGCCCTCTCCATAGCTCGCTGAGCGACCTTGAGCTTCTTCATACGGCCAGCAGTGAAGGATATTAAAGCAGCCGTGAATGAACTTAAAGAACTAAATAACTGTTTAACTCTTTCACTGTCCGGTTTTCAGACACGATAGTAAGAATAGCAATGACCTGTATGTATAGATGCGACGGATGAAATACAGGGAATACTCTGTAAATACCGAAAGAAAGCCCTCTGTGTTAGGACTGTGTATAAGACTTTTGATTACAGCTACAAAACTGTGCCTTCACCACATCCGACTAGACCATTCTCAGCAACATCACCACTAGTCCCTACACAAACAACGCCTGAATATTATGAGGTCATTCCTACATTTTCACATACTACACAATTGGAATAATCTTCTCAATCAATTAATATGTAGTGCTAAGTTAGGTTTATGTGAATTGTTTGAAAAAAAAAAACAATCAGTTGTTAATTTGATTATGAATAATAACTTATATTTACCTTGATAAAATCTTTTAGACTTTCATTTATAGCAGCACACACTTATACTGGTACTATTCGAATTATGGATGGTTTTGAAATTCCAAACATTACTGACAACACTCTGTACGATATTCCAGACGTAAGATATCAAAGTTACCTTATATCAAAAGTTATTTCCAACTTCACTGTTGCAGGCATTGCATTCCTCATATGTGTATCTTCACGTGGCATTTTAGTACCAATAAAATTTAAGAGTATTTCCACTTGTGACGGCTTCATTCTCATCACTGCTTTATATTCTCGGGGATCATCATTACAAAGTTCTTTAAATATTAAATTCGTAGCCCCTTTCCTTAGCATCCAATTTCTGACCCAAATACTTCTTTTTTTTCTTTTTCCTTGGGCCAGCATTTTCAGATCGAAGTATTTCAGCGCATCATTTTTGAAACCGCACTTATTATGGTATGAATCATGAGCCCTCGTGCGTGTTCTGATAACATTGCACGAGACTTGTAACACGAAAAGTCGGAAGGCAAGTACACAAATGCAGTAGCTGTCTACTTTCACATCAGCAGCTCGCACTTATGTGACCGGTTGAGAAGAGTCGAACTACTGCCATGCAAGTACAGGTGTACAGTAGCTGTCTACTGTCACATCAGCAGCTCGCACTGTGCAACCTCGCCTATAAGGTGTGCTGCTGGCAGCGACACGACGACGTGGACATAATTTCGATAATTTTGTACGATTTATTAAATTAATGGAAAAAATGAAACATTTTTGTTATGGTATATTTTATGTTTGAAAAGAAATTCTAAAGCATATAAATCATTGTACTTTTGAAATGCCGTGCTCCTGTTTTCCAATAGATTATTTAAAAAAAATATATGTAAGGTTTAGATTTCATCATGCGATAAAACGAAATGATAAACTACTAAAAACCAAGCAAAATAGGAACAAAAAATACTGAGAGTTGGAAATTTGTTAAAGTTAAAGAAAGTTAAAGTTATAGCCTATATACGCTTCACTGCTAGGCACAGGCCTCCTCTCATTTCTGAGAGGGTTTTAGGACAAGGAAGTGTCCGCCGCACTGCCCCAATGCGTGTTGGCGAACTTCACATGTCTTCGAAATACTTTTCTTTCTTATTTCTCAGACATTCAGGTTTCCTCACGATGTTTTTCTTCACCGTCAAGCACGTGGTAAGTCAGCACTTAAAATTGCAATTAACAATTTCATTGGTGCCGGCGAGGATTGAACCCGCGTTGCTCGCGTACTGTGAAATTTAACGCGAGCGCCAACCATCTGAGCTACCACGGCTCTTTTGAAATTTTTAGAAATATATAATTATAAACTCTAATGGATACTTATTATTTGAATAAAATATTTTGATATTAATATAATTTTTTTCATTTCTAACAATAAAATGTCTCTCTTCTCTTCTCTCTATCTACTTAATATTAAACAAATTGCTAATAACATAATAATACTGCTAATAACAGGACAGTGGCTCAGAACCGTGCTTTGTGGCATTCCTTGGGGAAGGCCTATGTTCAGCAGTGGACTTATGAAAGGATGTAATGATGATGATAATGATGACTGATAATAACCATTTCGTCTTACAAAGCTACCTACACTATTTTTAATGTTCCGTACCAAAATTGGAAAACGGAAAACTTATGGGACCACCTTAGTCATAGTGCATGTTCATCTTTCCATCCGTCCGTATTCATTGCTGAATACCGACTCGTTTTTTGTTTTCAATAACCGAGTGACAGCCCTATGAAAGTAAGAAAGAATTTTGAACTCTCTTAGGAAGCTTTAATTCTGCTCGGTTTTACATTCGTGTGTAGCTGCATATGCACGCTGCAGTTATATTATGGTTGCAGCACGAATGGGTCGGCTCACGGGGGAGAGACCACGCTGTCAATCATAATATAGCAGCTTAATACTGCTGTTTCGTATGGTGAGTATAGAGAACCAGAGACCCTTATTACTGGATACGACGAATTCCATCTTAGTCCTCAGAGGTGACAACGCTTCTGCATTTCCATTAGTAGATGTCTACGGGCTAAATCATGCACCCTCATCCTTTAAAAGTCTTTATTTCTTAGTTGCTGAGCTGCTACGGCTCTTACTTATTTTATTATACTTATAATTATTAATAAATCTTTCTAGATAGCTATTATAATAGATGTTATCGTGATTAATTAAATCTAGCGGAAGGAGCGTCTTGCAATACTCATTATTTAAATCCCTTGTCTCATACTTTTCCTTTCTTTACTTCGCATTGCTTTTATTGTACTGTATTAAATTTCTATTAAGTACAACCACACTCTGCTTCATTTATTTGTTACACCAGTTATGTATTAAATACATTATATTTAGGAGAAATCGCTTTCATGGCAGTCAGGTACAATTTTATAAAATAATTCATAATATATATTGTACCAGGTTTATAAAATTGTTGTTTATATTGTTAATTCTGTATTGATATAAAAAGTTTATATGTAATTGGTATAAAATTGAATATAAATAATAATGAATATTGACAAATTTATTAAATATTTTAATTGAAAGGAAATTTTAGGATTCATTAAAATTACTTATTATTCATATGAAATAATTCACGTTATAATTCAATAAATTACAGGCCGGTGCATCCCTGTAATTTGTTGAATGAAAAACTCTCCGTCTCTGTTTATGTTACGGTTCGGTTGTAATCAGTTATTTCTCTATCGTACATTGGCTATTCGTCACGGTGGCGCGAATATTATTCACCAAATTTACCATAGTAAAAAAGAAAATAATTAATGTATATATATACAAATTAACATAAATATGTAAAATGCATACAAATATCTAATATAGCTTCCGATAGATACTCGTACGTACTCGTAAAATACCCATACTGGTATCGGGCAGCATAATACATGCGAAATGTCTGGCACTGCCATCGTTTTATTCACCTGCTAACGAATAGCACTCTACAAAAGTATCGATTTTAAAGATTTTAAAGTATTAAAAATCTCACATACTAAAATGACAGAAATGAGAAGAGCACAGAACAAAAAGTTTAGAGCTTTTGACACTGATAACGTTTAGAGTAAGTAGGAAATAAATTTATACTATCAAAAATTATAAATAAAACATTTTTATGAATATGATCCAAAATTTCATCATAATGTAATTGGTTGGAGAAGGTAAATTAATTAATTATTTATTATTGATTTTAATTAATGGGTGAGTCTTTCGTAAAGGTAAAAATTTATTTATCATTAGTATTAAAAATTACATACAAAAGTACATATTATTTCTGTGCCGTGTAGTGGCGGTTAAGAATATCCACTACCCCATATCTTCCCGTGGGTGTCGTAAAAGGCGACAAAGGGAAACAGGCAGGAGATGGGCAGCAGTATCTTCCTGATAACAGCTAAATTACAATAAAAAACTGCGGTTGCCAACCCGCTCGCCAAGTGTGGCAACTATGGCAAATACCCCCCAATGATGAGAGTAACAAAGAGACGGCCCCCAGACCCCGGCGGCTCCGCTATTCCTGGCTACGGTGGCCACCATGGTAACGGCGGGGCAGGGGGTGCTAAGAATCTCCGGTGGAGGTTCGGTTGCCAACTAAGACGACTCGACCTGGCAACATACAACGCACGCACCCTGAGGACTGACGAGAAGATCGTAGAGCTGGAAGAAAAGATAGACAAGTTACGCTGGCATATTATAGAATTATCCGAGGTCCGAAGTGAGGGGGGGACACGGTAATCCACGAATCCGGCAACTTACTCTATCACCGGGAGGGCTCTCGTTAACAACGTTGTAAAGATTGAGAGTATGTTGACGAAGGTTGCGTACCTTATACTCAGAATTACCAAACCAACTTCCACAAAAATTGAGATTGACTTCATTATGACGACCAGACGACAGCTGTTCAGTGATGTCTCCGTGATCGCGAGGATGAAACCTGGTGGCAATCACCGAATGGTTAGAGGTACACTGAACCTAAACATTAAGTTGGAGAGGTCTCGTCTAATGAAGTCAACGCTCCGTCCCCCTCGTGCTCTGTTCCAAAGTCCCGAAGCTTTCAGCTCGAGTTACAAAACCGTTTTCAGGGCCTAGAGAGCCTAGAGACTGCAATGAAGTGGATGATATAAATGACAAGCTCGTTGAAACTGTCTATGCGATCGGAGCTAAGTTCTGCAAGACCCGCCGCAGAAGAACACAAAAACTCTCCGATCACACTCTCAATCTCATGGCTGTTAGACGGGAGATGAAGCTACATTCTTCAACAGATTTGACAGCATACAGGCAACTGAACAGACAGATCTCCAAATGCATGCGGCGGGACTTACGCAACTTCAATACAGCTTGTATTGAAGAAGCCATCGAGCGGAACCAAGGCTCCAAAGTCTTTGCCAGAGATCTGTCTGCCAGAAAGAGCCAACTGTCAAGGCTGAAGACCGAGTGTGGCAGCATCGTTTCCGGGGCACCTGAGATTTTGAGTGAGATTGAGAGGTTCTATGGGCAGCTGTACACGTCATCGTTGGAGCCGCACGCAAGTAACGATCTAAGAGCGAGTCTTATCCGACACTATTCCGAAAATATCCCGGACGTCTGAGCGAGATTAGAATGGCTCTCCAGCACCTTAAAAACGGCAAGACCCCAGGCGAGGGTGGAATTACAGCGGAGCTTCTGAAAGCGGGTGGAAAACCGGTACTTGAAGTCCTTCAGAAGCTCTTTAATTCCGTCCACCATGGCGGAATTACACCGGAGGCGTGGAGTAGAAGTGCGGTGGTCTTGTTCTTCAAGAAAGGTGACAACGCTCTCTTGAAGAACTACAGACCGATTTCCCTTCTGAGCCGCGTCTACGTGCTATTTTCGAGAGTCATTACGAATCGTCTCGCGCGCAGACTTGACGACTTCCAGCCTCCCGTACAAGCCGGTTTCCGAAAGGGCTTTAGCACTATAGACCACATACATACCCTTCGGCAAATTGTACAGAAGTCCCAAGAGTACAATTTGTCACTATGTCTGGCGTATGTGGACTATGAGAAAGCCTTTGATTCCGTCGAAATTTGGGCGGTGCTGCAGTCCCTTTAGCGGTGCCAAGTTGACTGTCGGTATATCAAAGTGCTGAAGTGTTTGTACAGTAGAGCTACGATGGCTATCCGAGTACAGAATCAGAGTACGAAACCAATCTAATTGCAGAGAGGTGTAAGACAGGGTGATGTTATATCCCCGAAACTCTTTACCGCTGCATTAGAATACGTTTTCAAGTTTCTGGACTGGAAAGGATACGGTATCAACATCAATGGCGAGTCTATTACTCACCTTCGATTTGCCGACGATATAGTCC